GAGAGAGAGAGAGGGGCTGTGTATGTATGAATTACCACCGTTTTGCCGCGTTTCTCTATTAACAGTGAAGCTGTGGCACAATAACCTACCAGCAATGTAAATATGATTTTTAAAAATATATTAGAATGTGTACAGTAGTTATGGGCTTAAAAACAAGATGCAAAAAATCAGAATATTGTACCTGTTGAGTGTTTAGAGAATGTAAAAGTGCCTATAGTTTGGTGTGAGGGTTAGGTTTAGGTGTAGGGCTTGGGTTTATGTGCGCATATGTGAATGATTGTTTGCGGTCAGCTGACACAGACACACACTCTCACTCTCAAGTTGTGCTGTAGTTAAAGAAGAGTTAGCTGGTTAAAGATGCGCTGTATTCATTCATCTGCTGAATTAAAGCCACTCTGATTAAAATTCAGAGTGACTGGCGTCATTAGTAACCACGGTTACCGTTTCCATGGATACAGGGTTGAGCTTGAGCTTCACAGCATTTCCTGTTTGTTCAATTGATGTTGTCTTCTGTTTGCAGAGATGTTATAAATGACCCTTTTCTAAGCTCCGCCCCTCTCGGTTACTGTTGCCAACACAAAGCTTTACTGAAAGTCCCACAGGAGAGAGAGAACTGTGCTTTATACATGTGTTTATGATAGATTCTGTTGTGTCGCTTCTGGTGTGGACGCACAAACCTCTTGTCGCTGGAATCTTGTCGTGTTGCGTGTAGTTAGGACACGGTGTTAGGATTGCTCAGGTGTGTTTCTGGTGTTCTGCAGGTGATGCAGATGGACGGATCGGGCCGGCGGGTGTTGGTGGATGATAACCTGCCACACATCTTCGGTTTCACGCTGCTGGGCGACTACATCTACTGGACGGACTGGCAGCGGCGCAGCATCGAGCGCGTGCACAAACACAGCCTGGAGCGCGAGGTGATCGTCGACCAGCTGCCCGACCTCATGGGAATCAAGGCCACATACGTCCACAAGACCTTCGGTGAGCAGCTGTGATGTCATTTCCTCCCTCGAGTCACTCAAACCTGCACCAGCTGCTTTCTTCTGTAAAAGAAGATACTTTAAAGAACTCATCCGTTTCGGTTCCCATTGACTTCCATTGTATTTTTGTCCATATAATGGAAGTCAATGGGAGCCAAAACTGTTTGGTCACCAGCGTTCTTCAAAATATCTTTATGCTCCACAGAATAAGGGTTTGAATGACAAATGATGACAGAATGATGATTTCTAGAGTAGGGCTGCAACAAACTATTATTTTGATAATCAATTAATCTAACAATTAGGCTATTGGAAAGATTAATCGACTAATCGTCGATTATTTCACTGATTAATCAGTAGACGGATTATTCAGCTTTTGCAATTAGTTAAAATATTGAGTTACAAATTCTAACAAATAAATAAAGGTAGTCACTTAAGCTTTTGAAAATCATATATAATTACAATTATTATATACAAATAAATATATTTGGCACACAAAATGAGATGACAGACAGAAAACTCTCTTATTCACCGTTTGAATCCAATGTGTCCAAACTTTTGACCAGTACTGTACTTTTGTATGATAACAGAAAACTGGTTAACAGAAGCTAGAAGAAAGAGCATCACAGCTTGAGCTAGCTAGCACATGATACCTAGCCTCATAAATTGTCAATGAAAATGGAGGGCAGTTCCCCTTTAGGTGACTAGGGGGATTGTATGTGCGGGGGGAGGGTCATTTTTAGACGGGTTTTTTTTTATTATCATAAAAAGTGCATGTTGGGGGTGTGACCTGCACTAAGCAGTGTGCATGTGATTGAGCAGTGTAGGGTAGAAATTCAACTGAAAGTGCATTAAATCTGGTTGTTTTAACCAAGATTATGCTGCAAGATTTTTTTCTCAACTACATTGAAGTTCCCAGTTCCTGCAATTTTGCAAATTCCCAGTTTATTCCCATTAATTCCCATATATTCTTGTTAATTCCCATGGAAAGTTTCCAGTCTTGAAAATTCCCAGAATTTTGCAACCCTAGTCTCAATCGGGCTCAAATTGATGAGCAATATTGACGATGCCATTGTTTGCAATACAAACGGAGCGCATGCCGCTGAGTTGAGGGGTGGGACGTTTCTGTATCAGTGTCAGCCGTATTCGAGAGTGAACGATCCTGTTAAACGCAGTAGTTGATGGCACATGGTCTTGTTGTGTGTGTGCTGAGCTGAATCTCTGTCTGCGCAGGTATGAACCCATGTGCGCTCGCTAACGGCGGCTGCAGTCACCTGTGTCTCTATAAGCCGCAGGGCGTGTCGTGCGCGTGTCCCATCGGTCTGGAGCTCATGGCCGATCTGACCACCTGCATCGTCCCCGAGGCCTTCCTGCTGTTCTCCCGCCACACGGACATCAGGCGCATCTCGCCGTGACTTTGCTGGTGATACACAGCCCTAATGGAAAGCAGCGGCTTTTACAAATCATGAGTGACATGAGTAAATAATGACACTATTTTCAGTGTTGTGTTGGTTTGGTTTCTCCATCATGCGTGTTGTTTAGTTCCCGTACGGCTCTCAGATGCTCCTCTAAATCCACTTGAAGAAGCTGAAGCCTGTTGAACACTTCAGTATGTGCCACTCAAACCTGCAGATTCAGTGAAAGAACTGCACTCAAGTCATTTCATGGGTCGTTTCAGTGCGTTCGTGTGATCTGATAATCAGAAACATGAGCGTTTTCTGTGAAAGTGTAGATCGGTCTGGAACGTGAGACTCTCTGAGCTCCGTACAGATGTGACGCTGCTCTCTCGTTCGGCCAATCAGCGCTCTGTCCCGTCGGGTGGAGGACGGCCGGCTCTGTGGTTTCTGCCCACATCTGGTTCCGATTATGGCCTGCACTCCAGCTGCGGTCGCTCTGTTTAGAATAGACCCAGAATCTGAAAGCCACATCGCACTGCGGTCTCCGGTCAAACCAGTGCACTCGCGACTGAGGCCCAAACACCCAAGATGGAAACTTGACTTCAGCGCTGCAGTGACCCAGAGCTACAGCAAACACGGTCATGTGATTGACCGCACAGGTTCACATCCTGGAGTCCGGACCGGGGTTTGAGTGTGCGTGAGAGCGAGTGTGCGTGAGAGCGAGTGTGCGTGAGAGCGAGTGTGCGTGAGAGCGAGTGTGCGTGAGAGCGAGTGTGCGTGAGAGCGAGTGTGCGTGCGTGAGTGAGTGAGTGAGTGAGTGAGTGCGTGTGTGTGTGTGTGTGTGTGTGTGTGTGCTTATACAGAATGTGTGTTTTGAGTGTTTAGAGAATGTAAAAGTGCCTATAGTTTGGTGTGAGGGTTAGGTTTAGGTGTAGGGCTTGGGTTTATGTGCGCATATGTGAATGATTGTTTGCGGTCAGCTGACACAGACACACACTCTCACTCTCAAGTTGTGCTGTAGTTAAAGAAGAGTTAGCTGGTTAAAGATGCGCTGTATTCATTCATCTGCTGAATTAAAGCCACTCTGATTAAAATTCAGAGTGACTGGCGTCATTAGTAACCACGGTTACCGTTTCCATGGATACAGGGTTGAGCTTGAGCTTCACAGCATTTCCTGTTTGTTCAATTGATGTTGTCTTCTGTTTGCAGAGATGTTATAAATGACCCTTTTCTAAGCTCCGCCCCTCTCGGTTACTGTTGCCAACACAAAGCTTTACTGAAAGTCCCACAGGAGAGAGAGAACTGTGCTTTATACATGTGTTTATGATAGATTCTGTTGTGTCGCTTCTGGTGTGGACGCACAAACCTCTTGTCGCTGGAATCTTGTCGTGTTGCGTGTAGTTAGGACACGGTGTTAGGATTGCTCAGGTGTGTTTCTGGTGTTCTGCAGGTGATGCAGATGGACGGATCGGGCCGGCGGGTGTTGGTGGATGATAACCTGCCACACATCTTCGGTTTCACGCTGCTGGGCGACTACATCTACTGGACGGACTGGCAGCGGCGCAGCATCGAGCGCGTGCACAAACACAGCCTGGAGCGCGAGGTGATCGTCGACCAGCTGCCCGACCTCATGGGAATCAAGGCCACATACGTCCACAAGACCTTCGGTGAGCAGCTGTGATGTCATTTCCTCCCTCGAGTCACTCAAACCTGCACCAGCTGCTTTCTTCTGTAAAAGAAGATACTTTAAAGAACTCATCCGTTTCGGTTCCCATTGACTTCCATTGTATTTTTGTCCATATAATGGAAGTCAATGGGAGCCAAAACTGTTTGGTCACCAGCGTTCTTCAAAATATCTTTATGCTCCACAGAATAAGGGTTTGAATGACAAATGATGACAGAATGATGATTTCTAGAGTAGGGCTGCAACAAACTATTATTTTGATAATCAATTAATCTAACAATTAGGCTATTGGAAAGATTAATCGACTAATCGTCGATTATTTCACTGATTAATCAGTAGACGGATTATTCAGCTTTTGCAATTAGTTAAAATATTGAGTTACAAATTCTAACAAATAAATAAAGGTAGTCACTTAAGCTTTTGAAAATCATATATAATTACAATTATTATATACAAATAAATATATTTGGCACACAAAATGAGATGACAGACAGAAAACTCTCTTATTCACCGTTTGAATCCAATGTGTCCAAACTTTTGACCAGTACTGTACTTTTGTATGATAACAGAAAACTGGTTAACAGAAGCTAGAAGAAAGAGCATCACAGCTTGAGCTAGCTAGCACATGATACCTAGCCTCATAAATTGTCAATGAAAATGGAGGGCAGTTCCCCTCAGTGTCTGCGGTCAGATGAGATGTTGTCAGGCTTAATGACCTTATGGTCCAGGGTCACAAATAAAAAGTCTCTCACCTCAGAAAAATTTACTGTTCTGTCCTGTCAGACGTTGCTTGTAGCACTCTTCAATTGCACGCACAAATGCGGCGGTGTACGCTGTATATTATTTCACTAAGCGCAAAAGAAAGGAGCATGCAACGTGTGAAATAAAAGTAATGTACCAATAAATTCCCGTGGCCAAACCAGTTGAGAAGCACTAATCTTCATGTAATGTATGCGTGCGCTCTGTAGGTGTGTAGAATGCTTTTTACAAAATACTCGGTCAAATCGCACATCGTTAAAACAACAACTACGATATTATCGCAGACGATATATATCACACACCCCTAGACAACGCGTCTCCACTTCCTTCCTCTAAGCATCTCAGTATGGCCGCGGTCATCTTGCGTCAGAGCCAGAGTCTGTGCTAGCGATCGTGAGGTGGAGCCTCGTTATCAAACTCCCGCAGACCCAATAGCAGGATCACAATCATGACACCACACCCCGTTTTTATAGCATCAAATAACTAGTTAAAAGCAAACTTATTAGAAAAAATGAACACTTGAACATAAATCAGCATGATAAGAACTACCTCAGGGTCAGAGGGTTTATCAGCTGGGGTCGATCGAGACGCTTTGGCTTCACTCTTCAGGACTCGAGCGGCACGCTTGCTCAGGACGCGGTCCCGGTCGCTGTGGTCATGTGACACGGTCTGCTTGTCTTCCTCTCAGCTTCATGTACTGGACAGAGTGGGGTGGACGGCCGAAGATCGACCGCTCGGCCATGGACGGTTCTGGACGCATCACTCTGGTGCCGAACGTGGGCCGCGCGAACGGACTGACCATCGACTACACCGAGCGGCGGCTGTACTGGACGGACCTGGACACCACGCTGATCGAGTCCTCCAACATGCTGGGTCAATATCAGCGACGACTGTCTCTGCAGCAGATATACAGTGTGAAAATACATGTGTAGGCAGGGGTGCACATAAGCGCTTCAGCCTGGTTCTCATAAGAGCACCTGGAGAGTTGGTTTGGGCCCCACACTGCACATAGTGTGACCCATTAAATATAACTATTTAAAAAAGTATTAATAATAGTGATAATATTATTGCACTTTATTTATTTAGTTTTTTTTTTAAACAAAATAATAAAGTGTGATAATACTATTATATTTTAAAATAAAAAGGGTGTATTAAATAAACATTAAATTATTTTATAGTAAGGCAAGGCAAATTTATTTATATAGCACATTTCATACACAATGGTAATTCAAAGTGCTTTACATAAATAATCATAAAATAATCAAGAATAAAACAAGGAATTAAAACTTTTGAAATGATTTAAAAATTGATTTTGACTTGTAATAAACTTAAAAATAAAAAATTTTGTGGGGTTTCTGGCAGGTAAGTGTATGCGCTGCTGATACTCACTCAGGGCGGGGCTTATGCTGCTGTAGGCGGGGCTTGTGCGGCGGCAGGCGGGGCTCAGGACGAGTCCGTGCAGGGCGGGGCTTACACAGCGGTGGGCGGGGCTCATGACGAGTCTGTGCAGGGCGGGGCTTGTGAGGCGGCACAATTATAATAACCCTATAAAGTATTTTAAGAGATTATGTTGTGAATAAAATAGTTTATCCAAAAATAAAGCATCTTATCACTTACCTTTATTTTGTTTCTTATCCATATAAAAGACTAACAAAAGGAGATGTTAGGCAGAATAATGTTTCATATAGCTAATTAAATGGTGAATAAGAGTTTCTCAGCCAAATATATTTATTTGTATAAATTAATCATATAATAATTATAATTACATAACATGATCTTCAAAAGCTGAAGTGATTATCTTTATTTATTTATTAGAATATGTATAACTGAATAATCAATCAAAGTCTACTGATTAATCAGTGAAATAATTGACGATTAGTCGATTAATCGTTCTAGTAATTGTTAGTCAAAATAATTGTTTGTTGCAGCCCTAATTATAAAGTGTGATAATACTATTATATTTTAAAATAAAAAGGGTGTATTAAATAAACATTAAATTATTTTATAGTAAGGCAAGGCAAATTTATTTATATAGCACATTTCATACACAATGGTAATTCAAAGTGCTTTACATAAATAATCATAAAATAATCAAGAATAAAACAAGGAATTAAAACTTTTGAAATGATTTAAAAATTGATTTTGACTTGTAATAAACTTAAAAATAAAAAATTTTGTGGGGTTTCTGGCAGGTAAGTGTATGCGCTGCTGATTGAAGAGCGTCAGTGAACGGAGTGTCACAGTTTTGTGTTGTGCTTTTATAAACGGGAGCGTGTTGCCTAGATTTATGCTTTACGTTCAAATAGAAATCTTGTACAGTATTACAGTTTGTCGATCTAAAATAGTAGTTGTGCATTACCAGCTGTCAACCCTGTCGGTACGCAAATGATCAGCCTGAACTTACTTACAGCGCATGTTTTATTTTGTTCGCGCATGTGCACCCCTGTTTATAATATAATTGAATTAAATTAAACTGTTCATTGTTAGTTCATGTGAGCTCAGGTCTATTAAATAATATTAACAGATACAACTTTTGATTTTAATGTATTAGTAAATAATTGACGATTAGTCGATTAATCGTTCTAGTAATTGTTAGTCAAAATAATTGTTTGTTGCAGCCCTAATTAAAACCGAATATAATTGGCAAAATTTTCAGTTAAATTTAAAGTAAAAACTAAATATGTATCTAATTAAAAATATCTGTAATATTATAATACTGATACCAAAATAACACTGACGACAGCACACGGTGAGCGTATATTATCACCATTGTTTGTTTATTTTTGGGTTCTGATGAAGTGAACCAGTGTCCATTTCAACAGCAGCTGTCATGAGTTTAATCTGGCACTGCTCTATAGGTCAGAAACACACGTGAGGGGGTTTAGGAGTAAACTGGAAGCGGACGCTCACTGTTTGATGATGAAAGATTAATCGTCTCTGTGTGTGTGTGTCAGCGCCCACATCCTTCCTGCTGTTCAGTCAGAAGACCGCCATCAACCGCATGGTCATCGACGAGCTGCAGAGCCCCGACATCATGCTGCCCATCAACAGCCTCAGAAACGTGCGCGCCATCGACTACGACCCGCTCGACCGCCAGCTGTACTGGATCGACTCCAAGCAGAACGCCATCCGCCGCGCGCAGGAGGACGGGAACCAGGTGAGACCTGAGCCCGTGTTCACTAAACACTTCATCTTACCACTGAGAGTTCTCCTCAATAGCAGAAAAAGCTTTTAGCTAACAGTTTTCTCTTCACACCTATTCACAGAGCTGCTGAGACTAACTTGTACTAAGCAATAGAGAGAAGTCTTAAGCTCAGAGTAAGGGGGCGGGGTTTACCTCGTTGCTATGTCCACAGTGATTGGCTGATAGTCTCTGTCACGTCAGTGAACGGAGTGTCACAGTTTTGTGTTGTGCTTTTATAAACGGGAGCGTGTTGCCTAGATTTATGCTTTACGTTCAAATAGAAATCTTGTACAGTATTACAGTTTGTCGATCTAAAATAGTAGTTGTGCATTACCAGCTGTCAACCCTGTCGGTACGCAAATGATCAGCCTGAACTTACTTACAGCGCATGTTTTATTTTGTTCGCGCATGTGCACCCCTGTTTATAATATAATTGAATTAAATTAAACTGTTCATTGTTAGTTCATGTGAGCTCAGGTCTATTAAATAATATTAACAGATACAACTTTTGATTTTAATGTATTAGTGAATATTGAAATTATCTGAGATTAATAAATGCTTTGAAGTATTTTTTTATTGATAGTTAATGTTAACTAGTGTAGTTAATTAATTTTATATGTGATATTCACATTATATATAATCGAGGTTAGGGTTTTATTTACTTGTTTGTTACATTGGTTATGAACAAAAGTAAAATAAAAAATAAATATTATATATATAATACATTTTTATAAATATAGATTTATATAAAATATAAACTCTATATTATTTCATATATTTGTGTCAGTTGTGATGAGTACTATGTAAATACATATGCATATCCTTTTATTTATACAGCTGTATATAGAGTAAATAATGCACAAATCTGTACATAAATCTTCTGTTCCAGATTCCTTCAAAAGCTGAAGTGATTATCTTTATTTATTTATTAGAATATGTATAACTGAATAATCAATCAAAGTCTACTGATTAATCAGTGAAATAATTGACGATTAGTCGATTAATCGTTCTAGTAATTGTTAGTCAAAATAATTGTTTGTTGCAGCCCTAATTAAAACCGAATATAATTGGCAAAATTTTCAGTTAAATTTAAAGTAAAAACTAAATATGTATCTAATTAAAAATATCTGTAATATTATAATACTGATACCAAAATAACACTGACGACAGCACACGGTGAGCGTATATTATCACCATTGTTTGTTTATTTTTGGGTTCTGATGAAGTGAACCAGTGTCCATTTCAACAGCAGCTGTCATGAGTTTAATCTGGCACTGCTCTATAGGTCAGAAACACACGTGAGGGGGTTTAGGAGTAAACTGGAAGCGGACGCTCACTGTTTGATGATGAAAGATTAATCGTCTCTGTGTGTGTGTGTCAGCGCCCACATCCTTCCTGCTGTTCAGTCAGAAGACCGCCATCAACCGCATGGTCATCGACGAGCTGCAGAGCCCCGACATCATGCTGCCCATCCACAGCCTCAGAAACGTGCGCGCCATCGACTACGACCCGCTCGACCGCCAGCTGTACTGGATCGACTCCAAGCAGAACGCCATCCGCCGCGCGCAGGAGGACGGGAACCAGGTGAGACCTGAGCCCGTGTTCACTAAACACTTCATCTTACCACTGAGAGTTCTCCTCAATAGCAGAAAAAGCTTTTAGCTAACAGTTTTCTCTTCACACCTATTCACAGAGCTGCTGAGACTAACTTGTACTAAGCAATAGAGAGAAGTCTTAAGCTCAGAGTAAGGGGGCGGGGTTTACCTCGTTGCTATGTCCATAGTGATTGGCTGATAGTCTCTGTCAGAGATTTATTCATGGAAATATTTTAGAGTAAAGATAAAGGTTTAAAAATAAAAATGTTAATTGCCACATTCAAAAGATTTTAAAATGCAGGCTAAGTGTCACTAATTAAACAAGTATGTGTTCAGTTAATTGTCAGCCTCTTACGTGTGTGCTCCTCATAATTAGTGAATGTGCATATAAACAGCCTTTTAATAAACAGAGCAGAATAATCATGGCTGATAGTAAGACATGCAAACTTAAAACAGCTAAAAGAACAGCTGTTACTTCTTCAGCAGCTGCTTAATGAAATCAAGGATATAATCAAAGCAGAATCTGGAGTTAGGATAACCTCCAAAACCAAAGGCGATATCTTTTTAAAAGCTCATTATCGTCAGACGTTTCTAAGATGTTTCTGTTCTGAGGCAGATTGCAGGAAACAGCTATTTTAGGATAGTTTGTGGCTTAGGACTCCTCTTCACTGCTCCTAACCTTTCACAGATTTAGGACTGACACGCCCATTATTTTTAAGATTGTCTCCTAAATCGGCGAGTTGCGAGCTGCTTTTAGATGTTTTGTGAATACAGGCCCAGATTTCTTGCAACGCAGGATTAAATTTCCCAGTAAAACCCTGTAGTGGTCGGTAACTAGGGTTGGGTATCGATTGAAATTTATCAGTTCTGATTCTTAACAATTCCTAGTTTCGATTCCAATAAAGAAAAACATTCAGATGTCAAATATTTTTCTTCTGTGTTTTTAAGAAGCATTCTGTTGCAGCTGAATAACATTTAAAAAAATCTGCATCTTACTGAACACTTAGGCCTACAAGAGGAAGCTTTGCCTGTGGTTTTAACAAAAAATACCACATCAAAAACCACTACAATAATATAAATTTCACACATTAAATTGTTAAAGATAAGTACACTGCAAAAAATTATTTTCTGCCAATGCGGCAAGAAAAATAATCTTGTTTAGCCTTTGAATTAAGATTATTTTTCTTACCACATTGGCGGATATTTTTGCTTGTTTTAAGCAAAAACTAACGAAATTGTGATACTTTTTTTTTAGAAAACGAGATTTAATATCTTAAATCATTTTACTTGTCAAGTAAATGCATCTTGATTCAAGAAAGTTTGGATATTTATACTAGAAAACAAGACAGAAACGCTAAGAACATTTTTTTTTGGTGTGTAAACCATCAGTAATAAAATGGGAACAACCAAATCAATTAGCAACAGCATAAATAAATACAACTGTACATATTTTAGGTACAGAAATTGAAATCAAAAGTTTAAAAACACTGCATAGTTTTCTTTCTTCATTAATCCTCATTAAAGTTACAGATAATTATTCAAACGAATGCATGATTTTCTTTTCTTCTTTGATTAACATGAATGACAGGCAGCATGTTGATTCGGTTGCTGTCTCTTTAACACGAACCCACGCGGATCTAAAACACTGTTACACGCTTGTTTTCGGTCTCAGCTGTTTACGAGGAAATGCACGGGGTATAACTACTTCCACCGCAAAAATTGTTCATTTACGTAAAACATTTTTTTTTGTTTATTCAACCGGCCTACAAAAAATAGCTTAGAAATCTCTTATGCAATATTATCACCAAATATTGGTATCAATCTTTTTTTGGCATAATGCTTTTTTCACTCAAAAAGACGAATAAAAATAACAAATAGGCTAGAATTTTTGTACAACCTACATTTTTTTAATTTTTTTTTCCTCTGCGACACTTTTTCTTATTGTGTTGACCGCAAAATATAAAACTAATTGTATCTTCGCAAGACGAATACAATGTTTGTGCAGACTACATACTCTCTCTTTTAGTAGTGGAAATTTAAATGTGAGATTCTGGAGATCTAAGTTTAGCGGGTCGGGAAGGAAATTATTCCAAGCAGACAGCTGGTGAACACAGAGTGAATATATAGAATATAATAGGGCTGCACGATAAATCGCATGCGATATTTAACGCGCAGAATATAATAATATATATTGTTCCTCAGAGCGAGACTGTGGTGTCCGGCGCGAGCCTCGGCCTGCAGCCCTACGACCTCAGCATCGACGTCTACAGCCGCTTCATCTACTGGACCAGCGAAGTGACCAACGTCATCAACGTCACGCGCATCGACGGGTCACGGGTCGGCGTGGTGCTGCGCGGAGAACACGACAAACCCCGCGCCATCGTGGTCAATCCGGAGCGAGGGTGAGAGCACTGGAAACATCTCAAACACGTGTAGCTGTTTATCAGTCAGCGTCTGTAGATTTCAGCTCCAGTCCATGTCTTTAAAGAGTTTAATCTCTTACATTCACCAGACTTTACAGCTGTATTCCACTCTATGTTCTGAAGGCTTGCTCAGATCTAGTGTTGGGGAGTAACTAGTTACATTTACTGAGAAAAAATGTGTAATTAAATTAGTTACTTCTGAAAATGTTAACGATTACAAAGGGGGGGGGGTTACATCTGAATATATTCATACACATACAGATTTAATTGATCTCTTTCATAAATTGTTCATTTAAATTTCAAAACATTAGAAATTTAGAAAAGTAAACAAATGTAATCAGTTACATTAATAAAGTAATTGAAATAGTTACACTACTTGCTACATTTTAAATAGAGTAACTTGTAATCTGTAACTGTTCCAAAGTAACCTTCCCAGCTCTGTTCATATTTCATTCACACTGAATTATACAACATTTATGCCTAAAAATATGGTGAAAATGTGTTTGTTTTCTGTCTGTTGACATTATTTTCTGACTCATGGAGTGATAAGAGAAATCCAAAATCTCCTGGAAAACCTTTAACTGTAATATGATCAAATCAAACCAGCATTTTGAACCTGACTTTATCCAGTGTTGAGAAATGTATGCAAATGAGTGCATATTTACTTAGATAATGGCTTATTTGCATATTCAAACATACCGTTTGAGAAACGTGTAACACAGAGTTGTTGGCGTCTGCTCCGCAGGTACATGTACTTCACCAATCTGCAGGAGCGTTCTCCGAAGATCGAGCGCGCCGCTCTGGACGGGACGGAGCGCGAGGTGCTGTTCTTCAGTAATCTGGGCAAGCCGGTCGCTCTGGCCGTCGACAACGAGCTGGGAAAACTCTTCTGGGTCGACATGGACCTGAGGCGCATCGAGAGCAGCGACCTGTCCGGTGAGATCCTGGGGTCAAAGGTCACGCACTGACCAGCTGATCATGTGATCTACAGTCCTCACTGTCAGCATGACTAATCGATTTCAAAATCCCCCGTCCAATGAATGCTTTCCTTGGCCCCGCCCCTCAGTCCTGACCACTCCCCTCTCATTTCATAAACACAGCAGCAGTTCACCATAGTGCTGTACAAATAAAATCAAAACCAGGAGAAAGAATAATATCAATAAAATCAAACAATAATTTAACATACAAGGTTAAAAAATTCGCTTAAAAGATTTCAATTGAGTTTTTTTTACTTTTTATTTTCAGATATAATATGTGAAACAAACCATACTGTATACATAACATTACAAGCATGATTTTTCTTTTACAAAAGCAAAACTATATAACACAAGGGAGAGAAAAACATGCAACTCAGAGATCATCTATTTAGCTGTTTTAATCATTAATATAACATCTAAAAACAAAGCATGTCATTGCAGTTATTTTGCAGTAAGAGAAGGTAAACGCTCCAGAAAAGATTTTGGTGATTTCCTAACATTGAAAAGGATTTTCTCTCAATTTAGTTTTAAACTCGTGGACAGAGTGTGAAGTTTTCACAGCTAAAGGACGGCTGCTCCATAGCCTCGGCTCAGCTGTTGTAAACGCACGATCTCCTCCAGCCTTCAGCCGTGATCTGATTCTGAGACCAAGAGTTTTCTGTGGATCTCAGACAGATAGGAGGGTGACCGATCATTTAAGGACTTAAAAACAACCTTGACTTCACTTCTGTCTTAATATGTTGATCAAATTTTAGGGAGGTTATCTAAGGGGACTCCCAAATTTGTCACCGTTGGTTTAATGAAGGACTTGAAATATCCCCAGATTACATTAGCCGTATTCACCTGAGGCCCAAATACAATAACTTCTGTTTTATTTTTATTCGTTATTTGACAGGGACAATGGACAGTCAAAAAAACTGCCCCAGAATTAGCTACAGAGCTAAATTTAATCTGCAGTCACTGGGCAGGAGAATACCGAAACAGATTAGGTAACAAAAACATCATAATACCATGTACAATAACCCCCCCCATAATTTAAAAGATAAGAAGTATAATCCCCCACATTTCTACAAAACCATCACCCTTCAAAAAATTATAAAAATTTTACAACTCGCCAAAATTATGTAACCATTTCAATATACAAAATTACTCGATGGTCACACACCTGACTCATCTTTAACCCTATTTTCATGCTAGTAACATGCTAATCAGGCTAGAAACATGTTAATGACATGCTAGTAACTTGCTAATCATGCTAGAAACATGCTAGTCACTTGCTAATCATGCTAGTAACATGTTAGTATCTTGCTAATCATGCTAGTAACTTGCTAATCATGCTAGTGACATGCTAGTCATGCTAGCAACATGCTAGTTACTTGCTAATCATGCCAGCAATATGCTCGTAACAGGCCAATCATGTTAAAAACATGCTAATCATGCTAGAAACATGTTGTCAACATCTATCGAATCTATCTACATTTTCAAACTTCAGGCTTTTACAACTACTTTAAACTTTCAGGCTAGGTTTTCTCAAGCCAACCTAAAGTTTGTAGACAATTGACAACAACAAGTGTAGAACACAACTAAATTGTCAAGTTAAAAAAATGTTTTACTAATAATCAAACAATGAGGATATCTGTTGGGTTTCTTGTCAAATGCTTTTAAAGCACGTTTATACAAAGTATATAAAGGTCTAAGAGTTTTACTAGAATTTAAGCATAGAAAAGATGTAAAGACATCCAAGATCTAATGCAAACAGATTTCCTAAGCCTTTCTCTTTCTCTCAAACATATTTTATTGGATTGTACGGTGTTTATTCAGAGCTGTGTCTAACTGGTTTATTTAAAAATGTATCACCTGAATGTATTTTAGAATTTTTGTCTAGTGTGCTTCTGAAATGTAACCTTTTGTTAATTGTATACCTTGTGTACTTTATTCAGAGATCGGCATGAAAATAGCCTTGATGCTGGCGTTACAAAGTGAATAAATGAATAAATAATTCTCTTTCTCTCCTCCAGGAGCCAATCGCATCGTGATCGAGGACTCCAACATCCTGCAGCCGGTGGGTCTGACGGTGTTTGGGAACTTCCTGTACTGGATCGACCGGCAGCAGCAGATGATCGAGCGCATCGATAAGATCACGCGCGAGGGACGCACCAAGATCCAGGCACGCATCGCCTCTCTGAGCGACATCCACGCCGTCCACGAGCTGCGCATGGAGGAGTACAGTAAGAGTCTCTCGCTGAGCATCATGGGAAGCGGTTCAACCGATCACAAATCTCTCGGTTCGGATCATATCACGGTTTCTGAACCACGGATCGGATTTCGGATCAGCAAGATTAAGCCACTTAATAATGAGAAGCATTAAATTAAGTACTCAAGTGCTGACGAATCTCAGTTAATCTAACACGGTGTACACATTGCAAGTTTTTTTTTGTTGTTGTTTTTTTAAGTAATACCAAATAGAATAGGTACAGAAATGTAATAATTAAGTGTAACATAGCACTGCATAGTATTCACTGTATAAGTTATAGGCTGCTGCCCCTTTAAGAGCTGATGCACAGATCAAATATAATGAGACGCATCCGATTTCTTTCTCAGCTGTCCACTTAAGACATAACCGACTGCTTTTACCAGAGTGATTGTTGAGATCAGTGTTTTGTCATAATTTTATGTGTATATGCGTCTGTTCAAAGGCAATGAGTGAAAGAGATATGAATGAGTTCCCTTTTCTTTCGCTTGAATGGTTTAAAATCGCTTTTGTGTGTAAACACGTACAAATGATAAACTTTCACTCTGTTTACATTTTGCAATTAATCTGCGGATCACATGCGTGCCGAACCGTGGGGCTTGATTCGTACGGATCAGCTACGATCCGTTCAGTCACTAATCATGGGTAGAGCGATGATAAATCGATGCAGAACCGATTCGTGGATGGATTCTGAGCTTATATTTTAACAGCAGATGGCATTCTACTCTCGTTTTTATCCACACACTCAAACACTCATGAAGAAGAGCGCTTGTGCGTTCGGCTGAGTCTGTAATTTCACCTCGGCTCAGAATGCTTTTATGATGCCAGATTAATGTAAACAGCCCACTGTGAACACCCTTGTGATTCGCTTCAACCTTTTCGAATCTTATGAATGATTATTTTCTCGATTCGTGATGCATGGATTTATTTTCCCAGTGGTAGTAGAGCGTCTGTGGGGTGTGTGTTGATGCGTGTGTGTGTGTGTGTGTGTGTCTGCAGATAAACACCCCTGCACGTCTGATAACGGCGGCTGCTCGCACATCTGCATCGTGAAGGGAGACGGATCCACGCGCTGCTCATGTCCGGTTCACCTGGTGCTGCTGCAGGACGAGCTCTCCTGCGGAGGTACACTCATCACACACTCATGGAGAAGTACAGAAGATCATGATGTTAATGTTTAGAATTATCTAAATAAGGGTTAGGCCACACTTATATCTACTGCAGCGAGTTAAAGGTACAGTTCATACAAAAATGAAAAATTGCACCTCAGGCCATCCAAGGAAACAAGCTGAAATACGGGCGAATCTGATCCTGTGAGGAATGAACTGATTCAGCTGCAGTTCCTCCAGCAGTCACTGAGCTGAGGCTGCTTTAATATAATTGCTTGTACGTTACGTCATTGTGCGATTACGTAAACAAACTAGTGAATTGAACCAGTTCATTGAAACAAACTGTCCAAAATATTCTCGTATTTCCCCGTTTGCCTGAGGCTCTGGATTACAGGTGATGATGTTGTAAACAATGTTCAGTTTCTTCGTTTCGCTTCATAAGTCACTATTGTTTATATAGCGCTTTATACAGTACTGATTAGGGCCTTTCGCACCGCGGGAACCTTTTCATAGTACCAGAACTAATTGTGGAACTACCCACTTTTTGGCGTGTTCGCAAAGTTGTGTTGATAATGCAGGAGGACAATAGTAAACACTGTTTTTCAGTTAAAGTCAGTTCAGTGATGATTCAGCGGTCTCATCGTCCAGCTCAGTTCAGTCAAGCCGACAATATCGCCAGATATTAAGTGTTCGTAAGACCTCAATATATCGTCAGGAGCCACGGGTATTAATTTTGTGATATGCTTTTTTCGACTCTCGAGTGACGGTAGCCATTGACTTGCATTGTGTGAATCACCAAGTAGCACGGTTTCAGCTAAAACTCTTACTTCACTGTTCTACTGAAGAAAAACATCACCTACATCTCGAGTAGCCTGAGGGTGAAAATTAACAGCAAACTTTCATTTTTGGGTGAACTATTCCTTAACGACTTCATGTCTGGGCGATAATATGTTTTCATTGTCACATGACCCTGCAGCACAAAAGCAGTGTTAAGTCGCTGGGGTATATTTGTAGCAATAGCCAACAATACATTGTATGGGTCAAAATTATACATTTTACTTTTATGCCAAAAATCATTAGGATATTAAGTAAAGAGCCAAATATTGTCCTACCCTTACAAACCATACATCAATGGAAAGATTATTTATTGACCCTCATGACTGGTTTTGTGGTGCAGGCTCTCATATGTCCGTCATTAACCGCTGGCTGTTGTCGTCCTCAGAGCCGCCCACGTGTTCTCCGGAGCAGTTCTCCTGTGTGTCCGGCGAGGTGGACTGTATCCCGCAGGCCTGGCGCTGCGACGGCTTCGCTGAGTGTGACGACAGCAGCGATGAGCGAGACTGTCCCGTCTGCTCCGAGGAGGAGTTCCAGTGCGACAGCAAGCAGTGCGTGGACTTTTCTCTGCGCTGCAACGGAGAAATCAACTGCCAGGACCGGTCCGATGAGAACAAATGTGAAGGTAACCATCGCCAGCCGATCCTCGCGGTCTGAGAGCAACTTCCTGCCTGATTCACCCACACTTCCTGTCTGTCTCTTCAGTTCTCTGTCCCATGGATCAGTTCACCTGCGCCAACGGCCAGTGCATCGGGCGGCACAAGAAGTGTGACCACAACACGGACTGCACAGACAACTCGGACGAGATCGGCTGCTGTATGTGTCTCAGAGCTTCTTAATTCACACTTGCATAAATGAAGGCCTTGAAAGGTATTAAATCAGAACAGAAAGTCTTAAATTCAGTCAAAAAATTGAATTTCCTTAGTATTTTTGTCTTGATTTCCAGCACAAACATCTAAATATCCTTAAATCAAGAAACATTTACTGGAGATGAAAAGTGAAGTGAAATTGAACAAAATGAAGTGAGTTTATGATTAAAATGAGAATAAAAATCTGCCAATGGGGAATGAAAACTTGGCTGATATTTGTTCTTGTTTTAAGTATAAACTCGCTTCATTTTGTATAATTTCTCAGAAAACCTGACTTTGTGCATCTCCAGTAAATGTGTCTTGATGTAAGAATCTGTAGAAAACAAGACAAGAACACTGAGGACGAACATAATTTTTGTGCGGTGTGATCGGAAGTACATTAAAAGTTATTTCGGTAACACTTTACTTAAAGCTTTTATGTATAACGCATTATAAAGGGTTATTAAGGGGTATAATGCATTATAATTATTCATAATGTGCTTTGTAATACGTTGTATCTTGTCGTAAATAATTATAACCGAATTTAAAATGCATAGTGTAACAATGAACTGTTATAATGTATTAACTGTAGTGACAGTTATTCATGAGATTCTACAGTGCATTATAAGGAGCATTACAAGACATAATTAATGCATTAAAACTACTGTTGTAATGCATTATACATAAGGGCTTTAAGTAGAGTGTTACTGTGATTTCCATATTCACTGCAAAAATGATTTTCTTAGTATTTCTGTCTTGTTTTCTAGTATAAATATCTAAACATTCTTGAATCAAGATGCATTTACTGGACAAGATTATTGTTCTTGCCCCGTTAGCAGATATTTTTGCTTGCTTTAAGGAAAAACTAACAACATTTAGATTCTTTTTTTCAGAAAACAAGACATCATAACTTAAGTCATTTTACTTGTAAAATGCATCTTGATTCAATAATTCTTAGATATTTATACTAGAAAACAAGACATTTTTTGCAGTGTTTCTAGTGTTTGTTTGCAAGGCTATTCAAAATTTGAGACCTTTATATTCAGAGAACATTCTGAAGTATTGTGTTGTCTTCAAGTGCAGAAAATGTAAATAGCTCTTGAAAAGGTGTTAAACGGAGCTTCATCAGTCCTGCAGAAAGCGCTATGTTGTTAAAGCAGCAGGTAAGAGACGCTCTGTTTTCTTCCTCAGACGCGACTGAAGAGCCGTCCTTTCCTCCGACGAACACCATCGGCTCTATCGTGGGTGTGCTGATGCTGCTGTTCGTGGTGGGCGCTGTGTATTTCGTGTGCCAGCGTGTGCTGTGTCCTCGGATGAAGGACGACGGCGAGACCATGACCAATGACTTCGTGGTGCACGGGCCGCCGCCGGTGCCTCTGGGATACGTGCCTCACCCCGGCTCTCTGAGCGGCTCGCTGCCAGGTGACAGGAACATCTGTGTCTTAATATCTAAACATTCTTGAATCAAGATGCATTTGTTTTGCAAGTAAAATGACTGAAGATATTATTGTTTTCTGAAAAAAGTCACAATTTAGTTCGTTTTTGCTTAAAGGCACAATATGTAAGATTTTTGTTATAAAATATCCAAAAGCCACTTGCGCAGTGTGATATATTTCATGCAGTTGTGTACTTACGTTATCCCAAGGATTGGTAAATCCAGAGAAACTCATATTTTAAATAATGACTCGTCCCTGTTCCTCCCTAGTCTTTCAATGACGTAATATCCGCACTATCCTCGGTTCATAGAAACTAAACTAAACTAAATCCATAATGGCTGTCACGAATGAAATGAAAATGAAAGTGTTGACTGCAGCATTAAATTTAGATCTTTTTACAGTGTTGCGCATTATAACCAATCACACACGAGTCTGTTGAGTTTATGAACGCAGTGGCCAATCAGAGGCGTCCAGATGAGTCATCATCCTCACCAGATGAGTTTTGTTCAGTGTACGCGCTCGCTCTGCTCGCTCGCGAATTCTCTCGTCATAAACAACAAAGTGCAGATGTACGTATGATGCAAGAGATTCATTCATCAAACCGTGTATAGACAGCTTTACTGATTGAAGTGTTTTTGAGAGTGCTGAAGACTGTCAGTCGTGTCCTTTGATAATGTATATGTGACCCTGCAGCACAAAAGCAGTCTTAAGCAGCACAGCTGTATTTGTAGCAATAGCCAACAATACATTGTATGGGTCACAATTATACATTTTTCTTTTATGCCAAAAATCATTAGGATATTAAGTAAAGATCATGTTCCATGAAGATATTTTGTAAATTTCCTACCGTAAATATATCAAAACTTAATTTTTGATTAGTAATATGCATTGCTAAGAACTTCATTTGCTCAACTTTAAAGATGATTTTCTCAATATTTAGATTTTTTTGCACCCTCAGATTCCAGATTTTCAAATATTGTCCTCTCCTAACAAACCATACACATTTCACAAAACTGACCCTTATGACTGGTTTTGTGCTCCAGGGTCACAAATGTTCTTTGCTCGCTTTCTCTGTATAATTTATTCGCTGTTTGAATAACTGTGGAAGGTACAGGCAATAAAAAAATAATTAATTACCTCATCTGTGAACATGATTCGTGAATTCCATACATAAACGACATCTCCCATCGTTCCGCTCTTCTTTACAGCGTCATCAAGCTTTGCCCTCGTTTTGGAAATGTGACCTCTAGCGGCGAAAACGTACATATTGTGCCTTTAAAACAAGCACAAATATCTGCCAACAGGGCAAGAAAAATCATCTTGTTTAGCCTTTGAATTAAGATTATTTTTCTTACACCATTGGCAGATATTTCGCTTGTTTTAAGGAAAAACTAATAAATTGTATTTAAATGTTTTTTTTTCAGAAAACGAGACATAATATCTGAAGTCATTTAACTTGGCATGTTGATTCAAGAATGTTTAGATATTTCTACTAGAAAACAAGACAAAAATAGGAAGTCAGAGAATCATTTGTTGCAGAGTGCTGACGTGTCTCTCTCTCAGGCATGTCTCGTGGGAAGTCGGTCATCGGCTCGCTGAGCATCATGGGAGGCAGCAGCGGTCCTCCGTATGATCGAGCACATGTGACCGGAGCCTCGTCCAGCAGCTCCTCCAGCACCAAGGGTTCATACTTCCCTCCGGTCAGTCGCCGATAAATTCTGTTGAATGGTATAATAAAAATCTTAGCCAATAGATGATTGCTAATGATCTGCTGTTGATGAATTATGACAATGTTTACTTTGTTTATATTCAAATGTTTTTATAAGATGCACATTTCATAATCTTCATGTTGAAATGAGCAGCTGGAAGTAGTAAAGCAGTACGTTTACATTTAGTCATTTAGCAGACGCTTTTATCCAAAGCGACTTAAAAATTATGACAATAGAAGCAATGAAAACCCACATTTCAAAATAAGAGCCCTGTGCATTTCAGGCTTCTTTATAAAAATTAAAAAAGGGTATAATTAAAACTGGATATTATTGGTATTTTGGTTACACAATGTACTGTGTTTGACATTTAATTTGATGTAAATTGTCTCTGGGTCGCCTGTCATTGGAAGGAAAGATGAAAAATATTATTTAACACATTACGAATATAGATTTTACTAGTATCAGCGCGACGATCTGCTTGCAGCATTATTGATAGACCTTTGATTCTTATTTATTGAGACATTAGTACATAAACTAACTTCAGTTCATACAGTATGTATATGTGAAATAAATATTCAGTTTATTATTATATTTATTGTTTTATTTTAGATTACAGGGTTCCTGCGGGTCCTTAAAGAGTCTTGAGATTTCTTAAAACGGTTATATTTCTGCCGTTGCAGAAGCGCCTCTTGCTGGCAGAGAATGAATGTGCAGTTTGTTTGTGTTCAGACCAATGTGAAAATCGGCCCATGTTTCTACACGCAGAGCTGTATATGTGAACTGGTGGATCGATTAGAAGATAATGCATTATACAAATCTAAACAGTAAAATGTTATTTAATTAATATAATATTGATAATTGTTTAAATTAATATAATAAATAATACTTTTGACTCACCCACTTTCTAAAATGCTTTAAAGGCTGAAATGTGAAACATTTGTTATCGTGAAAAATTGTATCTGAACTCTAAATCAGTCATGTTAGAGTTTAATGTTACTATAGACATTGCCCCACCCCGCTCATATGGTATTCATTTTATTTGTGCAGGTCTTTAAAAAAAAAAGTCTTAAATTTGAGCGTAAAAATCCTGCAGAAACCCTGGATTATTATTTATTATAATTGTATTAAATTTTATTTTTAATTCTGTGGTTGTAAATCAGCATCTTTTGTAATGAGTCTTTACTCTGCCATGATTCCAGATCCTGAATCCTCCTCCGTCTCCCGCCACAGTGAGGTCACAGTATACGATGGAGTTCGGTTACTCGTCGAACAGCCCGTCGACGCACCGATCGTACAGGTAACGACGGACACGCGTCACACGGATGTCATGCTAGTGTTTATGATTCAGTGTCTGACTGGGAGTGTTTTGCAGCTACAGGCCGTACAGTTACCGTCACTTTGCCCCTCCGACGACGCCCTGCAGCACAGACGTGTGCGACAGCGACTACACGCCGGGCCGAAGGGCTCCGCACGCATCCAGCGCCGCCGCCAAGGGCTACACCAGCGACCTGAACTACGACTCGGAGCCACCTCCGCCGCCGCCCACCCCACGCAGCCAGTACCTGTCTGCAGAGGAGAACTGTGAGAGCTGCCCGCCGTCGCCCTACACCGAGCGCAGCTACTCGCACCACCTGTACCCGCCGCCGCCCTCGCCCTGCACGGACTCATCCTGAGCCCCGCCCACCGCCTCACAAGCCCCGCCTACCACAGCGTAAGCCCCGCCCTGCACAGACTCGTCATGAGCCCTGCCCACCGCTGTGTAAGCCCCGCCCTGCACGGACTTGTCCTGAGCCCCGCCTACAGCAGCGTAAGCCCCGCCCTGCAAGGACTCGCCCTGAGCCACACAAGCCCCGCCTACCGCAGCGTAAGCCCTGCCCTGCACGGAGTCGCCCTGAGCCCCGCCCATCGTCCTGAGCCCCACCCACCGCTGCGTACACTGTACATAATGATTTTCTTAGTAGTTTTGTCTTCTTTTCTAGTTCTTCTTGAATCAAGATGCATTTACTTGACAAATTAAATGACTTAAGATATTAAGTCTTGTTTTCTAAAAAAAATTATCAAAATATCTGCCAATGGGGTAAGAAAAATAATCTTAATTCAAAGGCCAAACAAGATTATTTTTCTTGATATTTTTGATTGTTTTAAGCGAAAACTAACTAAATTTTTAATACTTTTTTCAGAAAACAAGACTGAATATCGTAAGCCACATTACTTGTAAAGTAAGTTCATCTTGATTCAAGAATTTGTAGATGTTTATACTAGAAAACAAGACAAACATACTTAGAAAATCTTTTTTTTTGCAGTGTAAGCCCCGCCCACTGCTGTGTAAGCCCCGCCCACGGCATCCGTGTACATATCTGATGGCGTGATGACTCGTGGGCGTCTGTCTCGGGTCTGGCGGCTCTCTGTACATTTGAAAGAAAAAGAAAACATATTTATATATTTTCTATACAGTGTTTATTGGTTATGCCATAGAGCTTTGTATTAAAATTAATTTGTAATTTTTTTTTTTTTTTAAGAGAAAATTTTATTAAATCCACACAGATGTGATAGGTTGCCTTAATCCAGGAGTTTAGAATCAAACGTGTTCATGCCAAATAGATGGAGACGCCCGTCGCCCCCTGCAGGCTCGGAGCAGCAGCACACTGTGACCTGAAACTCATGAGCCGCCAAACAAGATGGTACTCGTATTTTTCTACTATTTTTGTATTGGAGACGTCACGGATGCGGCCTCCTCTGTGCGTGACGAACTTCAGCGGCGCTTTAGGAAACGGGCAGGAAGTGATGCGATCCAATCCAGTTGAGCGAAAGCTTCCCGCCACCGCACGGCTCACAATCACGGACCACTTCTCGTGCCTGACCGTTTTTATAAGACCTTGGAACCATTTTTCACTTTTTTTTAAATCTCAGTGCCCACAAAAGGTCAATTATTTTTGTACCATATACTGTGTAGATACTGTATTTATAAGCTATAAAGAAGAATCTTCATCTTCATCGTGTCCTTGCAGTGCTGCTGTCCTGTTACGCCCCGGCAGTGAATGTGTGACAGTCCTGAGACAATCTGTGTGTTTGTGTGTGTGTGTGTGTGTGTGTGTGTAAGGACTCTTGAAGTTCCTTTAGTGTCTCCAGCTGTTTAGTTTCCCATAATGCATCTGTTTGTGTTTATAGCACTTCTTCTTGAGCTTTTATAAAGGGAGACTCACCAGCACAAACGTCCTGTATTACCCAGCATGCATCAGGGCATGTCAGTCGTGTGCTTCTCAGTCCTGATTGTGTTGGTTTGTCACACGCTGCCTTCAGAGCGTCCTCTGTTCACGACAGCAGCTTCAGTACAATCACGGATGTGTGTCAGAAACAGCTTTTCCAAATCTCTCCGCGTCCCAAACCTCCCTTTAATGGCCTGATCTGCAAGGGCTTCTGGGTAACGCCATGTTTTTAGTTCCTTTATGATTCTGCTCACACCAGCGTTTCCGTTTTCTTAACTGCACTTTACAGGACCAGTTCAGTGTGAGAGTGTGTGTGTTTGTGTGTGTGTGTGTGAGCGAGTGCGTGTGCGTGAGTGCGAGTGTTGTGTGTGTGAGAGTGTGTGTGTGTGAGAGTGTGAGTGTGTGTGTGTGTGTGAGCGAGTGCGTGAGTGTGTGAGAGTGTGTGAGAGTGAGCGTGTGTGTGTGTGTGTCTCTGTGTGCGTGTGCGCGTGTGTGAGTGTGCGAGTGTGTGAGCGAGTGCGTGTGCGTGAGTGTGAGTGAGTGTGAGAGTGTGAGTGCGTGAGTGTGAGTGAGTGCGTGAGTGTGTGTGTGAGTGTGTGTGTGTGTGTCTGTGTGTGTGTGTGTGTGTGTGTGAGCGAGTGCGTGAGTGTGTGAGAGTGAGCGTGTGTGTGTGTCTCTGTGTGCGAGTGCGCGTGTGTGTGTGAGTGTGTGAGCGAGTGCGTGTGCGTGAGTGTGAGTGAGTGTGAGAGTGTGAGTGCGTGAGTGTGAGTGAGTGCGTGAGTGTGTGTGTGAGTGTGTGTGTGTGTGTCTGTGTGTGTGTGTGTGTGTGTGTGAGGATCAGTGTACAGGAAGCAGCTGATGGTCACCGGCAGTAGACTCATCAGTTGAGCGTTTGTTGGCTTAGTTTGACCTCTGACCCCGTGTGTGTGAGGGGTCATGTGTCCGGTTGCTGGAATTGTGGGAAAAATGTCTAAAGCACTTTGAAAGAGTGAGCCGGATTAATTCACTACAGAAATGCTTTAAATGTGTCTTCATGGCAGGAGTTTGTATTTGGTCATTATTGGTGTTTTATATTGATTCCCATGGTGCTTTGCGAGGATGTTCAAAGGTGACCAACATTTGGTTTCTCATCAGTCATGAAATTTCCACTAACTCGCGTTTTTGTTCATTGATGCTTTACATGTAAAACTGTATAAAAACGGATGTGTACAGCTCATTCAGTCGCGTCTATAAGCGGTTGTAACAAATGAAATGATCTTTTTTTAATAAAACTGAGTCAACTTTTAATTTCTTCTCCGTGGATGTTTATGCAGCTGAACTGAAGCGGAGTGACTGTAGTTCTGGTCTGTCTGCGTCACATCTGCGCTTCTGAATGCTATTCAGTTCAGTGATGAGAAGTTAATACTAATGTTATTTTACTTCATCGCGCTTTAAACACGCTTTACTGCATGGATGTGTCTGCAAATATATCTTGATGCTTTCAACAAGTTTTACTTAATGCATCATTTTAAAGGTTAGATTAGGCCATGAACTCTAGCCGTAAATTAGTCATGTTTATTATGTCTTGGGTATTGCTGGACATTGGTCAAAATGTATGAGATATATCAACATTACAGTTAAATCTATTAAGATGGGAATTGAACTGAAGATGAGGTTTCTGCGCATGCGCGCCGCCTGCTGGTCACCAACATGAAGCGCTTCTACAGCTGATGATTCCGGATGATTTTAAAATCAGGGACATAAATACACCTAGGACTTCTAAATACCTAATAATAAATATGGCAGAAACTAACATTATAAAACAAAAGCTAGATAAGGGCCTCGTCCATACATTAAAAAAAGTAACATTTGGGTGGAGTGCGAAGCATCTTCCGCAAGTTTTAATAAATAGAATTGTAATTAGAAGTAACGAAACTTCTCGATGGTGTATTAGTGCGTTTAATATCGAGTTGTAAAAACGGAAGTAAAAACCCCATTAATTTTCTTCATAGGGGAGTTTATTTTTAAAGTAAACTTATAAACCTTTAATGACCGCTACTATGAGCCGCGAGGTTGTTAATCGATGGTTTATGCTTTTGTCGAAGCAGTCAGCCCGCATTATATCAGCTTAATTTTAAAATAATCATGTTTAACAGCGATATTCTTCTTGAAAAACTACATTACCCATGATTCTGCAGAGGAAGCGTGACGCGTCATGAGCGCTGTTTGCGCGTCACTTCCGCCTGCTGGACACAAACATGAAGCGCATCTACAGCAGCGGCGCTTAACACTATTAAATTACGAAGCTGTGAAGTACGTCCGAGTGTGTAAAGCAAGTCAGTTCATACTGATAAATACTAGTATGATGAAACTAATAAAGCTGCGCGTGTTGTTGGCGGTGCTGTGGCGCATCTGCAGCACTAGAGGGCGACGCTGCTGACTAGAAAACATGCTTTGCGCTCAAAAGTTAGGAAAAATTCATACGTTTTAATGTTTCTGAAAGAAGTCTCTTCTGCTCACCAGGGCTGCATTTATTTAATCAAAAATAGAGTAAAAACTGGAATATTATTCTAATGTAAAACAGCTGTTTTCTGTGTGAATATCTGTTAAACTGTAATGTATTTCTGTGATGCGCAGCTGTATTTTCAGCATCATTACTCCAGTCTTCAGTGTCACATGATCTTCAGAAATCAGTGTAATATGCGATACTGGAGCACAAAACCAGTCATAAGGTTTTTCAATTTCAAATACAATATTTGGCTGAGATACAACTATTTGAAAATCTGGAATCTGAGGGTGCAAAACAATCTAAATATTGAGAAAATCATCTTTAAAGTTGTTCAAATGAATGATTATTATCAATGTTGAAAAGAGTTGATGAATATCTTTGTGGAAACTGTAGGCAGATGTCGTGCAGATCCACTTAATGACTCTAACTACGTCTCTTTTTTTTTTTTTTACAGTTTATTCTTTTTTTCAACACACACACACACACACACACTCTCTCTCACTCACACACACACACTTATAGCAACAGATGTACACAAGTTGAGGTCCATCCAAACCCAGGCGCTGTAATCTGCTCTATTCCACATCCATCACTTCAGTGTGGCTCGCCGCCGCTGCTCTTCTGCTGTTCTTGGGTTTGTCTGCAGCTGCAGCAGGAGGGAGGTTCTTCTGCGTTTCCGCTGTGAACAGAAGAAGAGTGAGTGAGTGAGTGAGTGTGAGAGAGAGAGAGAGAGAGTGAGAGAGAGAGAGAGAGAGAGTGTGTGTGTGTGTGAGAGAGTGAGAGT